CCATGCTGGGAACTCTGGTGGTGGTGGTGGTTGGCAGAGGGTGGGGAGTGTGGGGAGGGGTGGAAGAGGAAATGGAACCTCTCTGCCACATGGATCTCTCCCCACCCAAAGCTTGTGGGCTTGGGTCTTAGTGGGGGCTGTTCAAGGTCTACGTGGCAGAGACACTCCATTCCCTAGCTAAAGCCAAGAGCTACAGTTCGGGGCTGAACCTCTTTTCGCTATGCCCAGAATTGGGGGGGGAGGGGTGGAAACAGAGCCCATGTGCTATGTGGGGGGGGGTTCAAGTGGGGGGGGGTCCATGCAGCAGAGAGGCTCCATTACCTGCCCCTCACTCCACAGCTGCTGGTGCTGACAGTGGTCAGCAGGGGGGAGGGGGTGGGGAGGCCTGGTGAGAGGGCTGTGCTAGCTAATCAGGGGTGGACAATTGCTCAACTGGGCTCAGCATTCTCCTGCAGCATTTTGGGAGGTGTGCGAGAGCACCCCCAACCAGCTAGTGTCAGTCACTGCAGGTAGGCACCTAGTCCTCCCACCTCCACCCCCACCAAACGGCGTATGTGTGTTCTGTTTGGTCTTGACCTAATCTAGATTGCTGTGAGTAAAGTGCTATACTTAGGGTGCTTCTGTCTTGGGCTTTTTGAACATCTGTACTTAGCCCATATGATCACAGGAGAATGTGGAAGTTAGAATTTTAAGTTTGAAAGTTAGTTAGATGGTTGTGCTACTCTAAATATGGCATCACTACTCCTTTACAAAAGCAATTAACATAATTCTACTTATATGTAATACTCTATTTATCAGATCAACAATTTTCATCTTTCTCTTCTACTGTTCTTCAGCACTGTGCTAGGAACTCAGGGCTCCACTTTCCTTCCACCAACCATTTCTCTTTAGCTACTTTCTTCAGATCCTTCCAGGCTGCAGAGACGAGTTATATTAGCTCTTTTTATTAGCTGATCACATCGAAACAGGCACTGAGTTCTTTCTGTACTACTTCATCAAAGGTGCAGACAGAAGTGACAAATTTTACCCAATCTGGCCACAGGAAGCATTTTATAGCTGTGACTAAACACAAGTGCATGGCTGCAAACAGCTGCTTGGGTGAAAATCTGACCCCTCATTGCATGAGGTATCCAATAAAGATGCTACAAAATTTAGTGTCTTTTGTAACTTATGTCTGTGAGCTCCCTGCCGGTTGCTATTTTCAGAACAGGAGGGGGGGAAGGGAGGGGCGGAAGCTCAGTCTGGGTGGGGCACAGGGTTCAGTCCCCTCTGGAAGATGGGGTGGGGGTACTGCAGCTCCCAAGGTAAGGGGGGCTCCAATTCATGCACCTGACCCTTCAGCACTAGCTGATGAGCCTGAAGAATGAACTCCCCCCCTTGCTGCTTTTCTCCTGCACACATTCTGAAAACAGCAAGCATTAGCAGAGATCTCTGGCCACTGCTGTGGGAACCTGGCTACAGGCTCCCAACCTCCAGCTGGATTCCCCCCTGAAACCAACAGCGAACTTCTGTTTGGTCTGGGGTAATATTGCAACCCAGACCACTTTGCAAAAAATGTTCTGAGTTACAGCTGGGAGCTGCATTTCTGTCTGCACCCCAAAAGATTGATTTCTTCATTTTCCTTTAGAAACACTGATGCAAACAATGCATTTATTTTTTTTAGGGTTTTTGCCAGTAATACATGTTGATTTTGTTAATAATCTACCTTTGGTCACCTCTTAGAAGCATTGTCCCACTTACTGACCTCTTGTTCCATGTACTTAAAAAAATTCATTCCATTTATTATAGCCTCCTATGCAATCTTCCTTCGCTCACCATTTTCTGATTTTCTTGCTTTCTTTTTGTGCTTTCAAAACTGCATATAAGCCATAAAGGGTTGCATTTTAATTGATTTGTCAGAGATAACTGAAAAATGGATATATGACAATAGACTGAAGTCTGTTTTCTTGCATGGTCATTTAGCTATGCATGTACGTACATCTGTCAAGAACTGCTGTACAGGAATGCATGTGAAACACTGTAGTTATTGAATTACTTTAGCTTTAAACAAAAGATTATTTTGTAATGGTACAAAATTTAGTACTTTTGTAATGTTGTAATGTTGTTTGTTTGGTACTTTTGTAATGTGTCTGGATCAGTGGATTGTGCCACTGTAAAGTCATAAAAAACTTCAAGATTAGATATTTCTAGAGATAACTGAATTACTTTTAATCCCTGAGGTATAGTTCACTGCTGTGGTTATTCTGGCTTTGTGCTGGTGACCTCCTATATGCCTTAAAGCAGCCAAAAGAAAAATAAATATAAAAACGAGGAGGAACAAGGGGGCTTTTATTATAAAGAGCCTTTTAGTCAAACAAAAAGTACTGCATTGTGATATGACACTGAAACTGAGATGAAAATGACATTTCTTGTCAGCCTATATGGCAGTTTTGAAGGTTGTAGGACAATCCTGTGAAAATGATTTCTGTCTTATACAGTTTTCAATGGATATTGGCCCTAAATTTTCTTTTCAACTTTGGTGAATTCAGAATGAAGAAATAATCCTCACATAATACTGTAGTAACATCCTCTCAAATCTTGTATTTTAACTCTGCAAGCTACTAGATCCTGTATACGTTAGGAGTCTTGATATCATTTCTGTAGAACTGAGCAAAATGCTTCTCCAGAAGCTGAACTGTAAAGTTCCACAAAACAGCCACAATGCCCAACTGATGGCGCACAGCATTATGAAGAGCCAGATGACTGAAATATAGCACAGTGCAACTCTATTGAACCCTTTATAGGTGTGATTGCATTTAATGAAGTCCATTGTTTCCCTGCAAAGCAAAAAATCCTGTTACACTGAAGATTTTTTTGGTGGAGTAGGGAGGGTTATTTAATTTGGCATATCTTTTCTAAATGGAGCCTTCACCATCTGTTCTACTCTTTTATTACAAATACAGAAAGAACTTATCTCACTACCCTAGCACATAAAGCCTAAGATAGAAGTGAGTTAGAGACATGTGTGTTCTTCATGCACCTGGTATGTTTTCACACATTTCAAACACAGATGAGCAGGAAAATTTGTGTTTCCTGATGTAATAGATTCTTTGACACAGTGCATTTCCACCCTCACAGCAAGATGAAATGAATGACCAGGGGCATGTATTATGATAATAATGGCTCAATTTCTGTCCTTGAGGATTAGATCTTTCTTGCTTTTACATTCTGTGATACCATCTTTCTCTAAATGAGAGAAAATGCATGCTTGCTTCTGTTCTTGATCAACCTACACTTTCTTCTGGTGTGTATCATCAAGAATGCTACCTGTGGCAAAGAAGGGAAGGACACTTGTGAGCACACTGAAGACCTCTGCCTTTCCCAAAAGTTGGCAAGTAACCTTCCTAAGGAGTACTTGTAGCACTACCATGATGCCCAAAGTAACACAAAGGGCAATGAATTAATTTGATAGCTCATTACACAAATAAATAAATGCAGAGTGCTTCAGGATAAATGTAGAGTGCTTCACCTGGAGAGAAGTAACCACTGACATGAATATAGGTTAGGAGGAGATGTCCTGGCCAGCTTGATGGCTAAAAGGGACCTTGGGGTTATGGTTGATCACAGGATGAACATGAGCTGCCAGTGTGACGCTGTAGTCAACTTTGCTAACAGCATACTGGGATGTATTAGCTGATGCATCGCAAGCAGTGCTAAGGAAGTGATACTTCCTCTCTACTCGGCATTAGTGAGACCCCAGCTGGGGTACTGTGTCCAGCTCTGGGTGCTGCGCTTCAAAAAAGACGTGGAGAATCTTGAAAGGGTCCAGAGAATGGCCATAGGAATGATTAAGGGCCTGGAGGACAAACCTTATGAGAAGAGACTAAGGGATCTGGGACTGTTCAGCTTGGGGAAGAGAAGACTGGGGGAGGTGGGGGGGCTGGAGATACACACGTCTTGGTGGTCATCTATAAGTACATAAGGGGTGAATATTGGGAGCTGGGAGAAAAACTGTTCACTAGAGTGTCCCAGGGGAGGACAAGGAGCAACAGCCACAAAGTGTTAAAGGATGGTTTCAGGTTGGATGCAAGAAAGAACTTCTTTACGGTAAAGGTGACCAGAATCTGGAATAGACTTCCCAAGGAGGTGGTGCGGTCCCCAACCTTGGAAGTCTTCAAGAAGAGACTGGAGAGCAGGGGGGGTTGGACTCAATGATCTTTCGAGCCCCCTTCCAGCCCTCAATTTCTATGATTCCATGAAAGTAACTGCTGCTTCAAAATGTACCACACTGCATTTTCATTGTTTTTAGCAATAAATCTATGCAGCACGTAGGAAGGAAGGTATGAACAGCTGTCTCATATTCCACACCCAAGACAGATTGTCAGCTGACCTCAATGTTAATTTATAGAGACAATTCAGGCCCTACCAGTGTTGTAACCCCTCCCAAGAGCTGGCCAGGGACGGTGATTCTTCCAAAGGTTGCCCAGGTACCAGTCACTCTGATTCTCCACCAAGCCAAGAACCTGCTGGCCTGGAAGAAAGCAAAATACAAATAGATCATTAGACAAAAGACAGATAATTAACAGGAAAAAATACAAAATCTGGAGAGGGATGGGCAGTGGAAACAGAGCACAGCAGTTCTGACACTGCCTTCACTTCACATGGTAGGAAGGTAACTAATCACCTAAAAAACACATAGGACCATTATGGCACTACAAACTCATCATGGCTCATTTCCTTCTCTTGTCCCCTGGCTAGTTTGAGTAATTAAACACTGTAGGAATCTTTGTCATGCTGACAAAAATATGTCACCTAGGCAAACTGAATGCCGCCTGATTGTGGAGTACCATTTTCAAGAATTCTTTCAGTGAGAAGACAGGATTAGTAACATAATAGTCTGCTTATAGTCTGATGATGATGACACTATAACTCAATAATGGGCCCAGGATAGCAAGTTATTTTCTTTAGCTAATCCCCGTTTGGTTCCAAGGAGTTTTTGTTGTCTCTGAAAGATCAACATAAGAAGTTTCTTTTATTTTAGGGAATGGCTGAATCTAAGAGGGAAAAAAGCAAGACTGATTTAACTAGAGAGAGTAATTTAAAACTCATTAAGTTAAATCAGTGTGCAATGCAGCATGGACACTCTGAATTCAGTTTAAACCCGGCTCATGTTGGTTTAACTTAAATTGATTAATAATTTGCTTAAGCTAAAGTAAAATACATTGACTGTAAACCAAAATAAGACTGTCCACATGGGCTTGTTCGACAATCAATTGAAAAATGAATTAAGTTATAGTAGTGCATCATTTGCATGTAGACAAAGCCTTCATTATCTATTCAGAGAAGTACTACATCAGATGGGAGTAAGAACAGTGACTGCAACCGCCCTTCTGTGATGGAGGAAAGAGGGAAAATTGCATTTGTACCCAGTTAAAAAATGGTGATAGGGCTTCAATGGCTGATCTAGTTCAATGAACTTGGGGTGGACAAAGTTTGAATGACTGATTTTGAAACTGTTTTTTTCACATCTTGAACAACAGGATTTAAAATCATGCTCTGAAAATAAAGATGGTTGTAAGCCTTAAGTTTGAAGCTACACAAGCAAACTATCACTTTCTAATTGAGCCTGAGGATACAATAGTGCCAAGTGATGGTTAAAATACACAGTGTAGCAAAACCCCCAGTTTTTCTTTTTTTATTTATTTTAAAATGCATTCCCTCCCCTTCCCCAACCACTTCTGACTTTTTCTCTCCCTCTCTATCCCCTATAGATAAGTATAAGTAAGCTAAGACATAGGATAAGTTTTAACATTTTATTTTATGTAGTAAGTTTTATTTTTCTCTGCCCTCTTTGCAAATAAGTTCCCTGCTATTCTGATATTGATACCCACTGTTTTATAAGTGATAATTATTATGTTTGTACTGCTTTTATACTGAGTGATTACTGTTTTAGGCCTAAATATGTAAGTTAGCGTAAGTCATGTGAAGTTTCCATTTTGTATGTCAAACCTCCATCTTGTGTCCTCTGCACGGGCATCCCCAGTGTTTGCAACTGTATGATTCATGTACCCCTCCCATGTAAACTGGTTCCCGGATGAATGAGAGTGATTAGGAATGACTGAAATACAATGGTAGCAGGCCTCTACTGAATGACCTGTAATGACCAGGCCATCACTTTGCATTCATTCATTCATTCAGGAACCACAGACCTCACCCAGGAACAGAGACAAGAACCCAGCATTTGAAAGACAAGAGACCCTGCAGAACCAACAACTCTGCCATTGTACCCCACCATTACAGACACCCGAAACTGCACATCCCTGCATGAAGCACACAT